AACAGTTAGAAGATAGTGTCATTGAATATAAAATAAAAATAATATGAAAATATAAAATGAGTGATAAGACTTTTGTGAAGGTAAAGAACAAAGTAAATGCTCGGAGGGCAGGGAGAGAACAAACTAACACTCTAATAACTCTGTATGTAGATCATATGTAACAAAGAACAAATATTTGATATACTGATTTTGAAGACCGTTGATGTATACAGGTGTGATGGTGTAGTGCATTAGTACGTACCGTTTGTCGTCTAGTATGGTCTCGTTATGTTTCCGTTCACTTTCAAATTGGGTGAATAGAAAGCTAAACACACTCACTTCTTGCGCTTATGGGCTAGCACATCAGAGCCAGACGTGAGACCTACAGAATGGATTTCAATTGATCGAATGCACACATTAGTCATCGTAGGCCACAAGCCATCACTCTTAACCAAAAGAGCTACTGCCCCGTGCTGGTGTGGAATGATGTGCTATGAAGTGAGATTTCAGATCCGAGCACATAGTCAGCGAGCGCTGATCCGACGTGCATTGTGGAGCTTCCGATTGAACGTGTGCATGAGTGTCAGCGTAGTCATTAGGTTATTGAGCGCCGTAACCACATCCACCAGGATAGCCTAATGTCCGTTTTGTCGTTGTGACGTACATTGGAAAAAGTCAGGGCTCACCAGCCACAAAGAATAAATTTTTGCTTATGCGACACAATGATTGCAAAAAGTGACCAACGGAGCCGTCCAGTTACGAAGACCTGGGAGATGTGAAAATAAAAACAGATTGAAGATGATGTCATTTAGGTAAAAAAACATAAATTAATGCAAAGAAAGTTGGTAGAGTAAAAGTAAGCAACTCAGGAAAAGGGGAATAAAAACTCACACTCTAGTCATCTTTTAACAAATGATGAAATAATGATCTATGAGTAAACAATTCAATAAAAATCCGCTGGTTTATAATGGTATTCATAACTAAAATAATCGCAACATACAAGTGTCTAATAAATGTGGTACTATATATGTTCTAAACTCTAGATAAAAAATTGATAACTGATAATCACCTGTGTAACATAAAAAATAAATAAATGTCGTAAATGTAACAAATTCATAATAAAAAGCTCATAAAGTGCAAAAGTAGATGGGTTTAAGAGGTAAAAAAATGTTGGTGCCATAATAACCAATTAGAATTAAGTAGTGGATAAATGGTGATCCCCCTCCTCAGGAATGCACTGCGATCACCAATGACGTTTCGAAGAGCCCGAGACCTGCACTAACGCCACTCGTCAGAGGCGTGTCCTTGCAACAGATCTCACCGCCTACACAATACACAATCTGTTACGATGAACCTTTTGTTACAATGAATCTTTTGTTACAATGAATCTTTCAGGAAAAAAGGAGCAGACAATGTAGCAATTATGCTGGAGCACTAATTTGACTACATTTTATCAAACAATTTGTCACAGCAAAAAATGTATCACAAAAAAGCTGCAACATTTGTAGCTTTTATGTGATTGGTGTGCTGGGCAAAATAAGAAATAGACTGTTATTCATTTTTTACACTATAATGTAGTGAACTAGAAGATACATAAAAGAAAACATACCATCTTTCCTGAAAAGGAGTCACAGCTACATGGAGCGTGATCGTGGTATGGTATTAATTATAGTAAGTGACCAGGGCCCTCAGCTGGGCTAAAAATTAAACCTTTTGCTAATCAGGCACCAGCCTGGTCAGTTAACAGGCAAAAATTATAAAATTTAGCAGGGGTTGATAGCCGGGCCTTGGAAAAATTTTTTAATACTTTATATATTATAAATTTATGTGCACATTTACTAATTATTAAATACGGGAATAAATTTTTATATGTATTTTTAAACTAATTCACTTTGACAAGGTTGCAAGTAACCACTATTAAGTAGAAAGTTACTAGAAAACAACGAATAAGATTAAGGAGCAAGGGAACGGTTAAATGAAGACTTAAAAAGTTGGTAGTATGAGTTAGGGAAATATGAAGACAGGTAAGAGTTATAAAGTTTTGTTGAAGTGCAAGGAAAAAATCTGGATGAATAAAAGTTTTTATAGCAATTACAATGTGCTTTTGGACCTTGTCTGAAAGTGAGTGGGTTGTTATTTGACAATATAGAAATGTCAATAGAAGTTATTTACTGCTAACAACGATCGCAATATTTGACAATATTGCGATAGTTATTTGCAGTAAATAACTAAGTTTTGTTGGATTAAAATCCACAAACCACTGCAAGCCCCAAGCTGTTACAGAAAAGAGAAAATCAACTGCTTGTTCTAAGTGATCAACAAAGTGAAGACTTTTTGTCAAGAAAAGAGTATAAAGCTGAGTTGTCAGCAAATGAAGATTTAGATGTAACAGAGTTTTGTCAAGAAAAAAGTATTAAGATGAGTTGTCAGCCATTTTAGATATAAGATAGGAATATTGTTACTGTAGATAAGAAACAATACAGGAGCAAAAATAGAACCTTGCGATACCCTTAAAGTTATTGGAATTGAAGAAGAATATAGGCCTTCAAGAATGACTTTATTACTGCAGTTAAAAAGAAATGATTTAGTAATCTCAAAACCTTTATATAAAGAAACCTTTATAAAAGAGTGAAGACTAATTATAAAGTTAAAGAGGTCAGAGTGTTTTCAAGAGTTTTTAATTATTTAGCATTTAATAATAGTTAACAGTTTTGTAACACCTTGATAGAAATCTTGTCTGAACCAGAAGAGTTTGATTAAAAACTAATTTTAGCATTGGAAGCCTGAGCAATTGTCTAACAATGGGTTAATCTGTTTAACTGGAAAGGCAGGAAGAGTATGGCCATTAGATTCATGAGTCAAATTAGAAGGAAAAGCTCATTGCAAATAATGCTGTTTTATTCAAGGGAGAAGTAATAAGATAAGACCCATGAATTAGAGATTAATTGTTATACTTACTTTAATTAATGACACTGTTATATATAATACAAAATTTAGTAAACTGAGTATATGAATAACATACCCTAACATTAGACAGGACATTTTTACATTGGCTTCTCGCAATAATAAAAGAGCATTTGTTCTTAGAAAGATGCTCAAGATGGTGAAAAATGTGGAGTAGGATGCTTGACTTAGAACTTAAGAGAAGTAATATAAGCTTCCAACTTCCAACATGTATATATATATATATATATATATATATATATATATATATTATATATATATATATATATATATATATATATATATATATTTATATATGCATATAAACATATATGTTTATATCCATATTTATTTAGATGCATACAATATCCTTACATATTTATATACCCTTTAGTATTTATATGGTGTAGTATTTGCCAAAAGATAAGATAATGATCAGATGAATGTGTGGTATGACTCTAACAAGACAAGAAAAGGAGTCATAATATTAGACAATATTAGAAACATTGTATCGAACAACGTTTGTCAGAGAAGATTAAAGTATTTTGGGTATCAGCATATAGAGAAGAAGCTTCAGGAGAAAATGGTAGTGGTACAAGAAAGGAAACTTGCAGAGAGTGTTACATATTGTATAAATGAATTTTAGTAAATAAGAGAAGATGATGATGATGATAATGATGATGATCATGTTGCTCATGATGTTTATATATAAGTATATATATATATATATATATATATATATATATATATATAAAACATGAATTTTGAAACAGAAAAATATACGTTAGGATGTATTAATGTTAATGTAAACCTGGTCACAAACCCAGCCATGGCTAATTTTTATTAAACCCAGCCCTGGTCAAATTTTAACCTAGTTTGCTTACTAATCAATTAACCATACTTGTCATTGAAGGTTCAAGCAAAATTACTAATAAACTGGAGGAAAAAATTTTGTAACTGTTGAAAGAAGTCTTCACCCATTTGAAGTTATCAAGATGGAGCTGAACATGTTCCAAAATTTTTCTGAACATATCAAACCATTTTACAAAGTTAAATGTCCAATTCCAACCCTTTTTGTGAAATTATTTTTTCCCAAGAATCCCCTACTATACCTTAAACTGATTTCTTTACTTTCTTCATTTGTAATTTTCTTCTTTTTTTTTTTAAACTAAATTTTTTCTTTTTAACCTAAGGGTCAAAGATTAGAAAGCTAGCCTCAGGGTGGAAGGGTAAAAAGGAGGGTTAGAAATTTGTTGAAATAAGAATTAACAAAATAAATTAAATTTGTAATTTTTAAACATAATACGGAAAAGCTTATAAAAACTTATCAGCAGTCTGTGATATAAATCTAAGCATAAGGGTTTTCCTTCTTCTCACTTTGCCTGACAGTGTTTATTGTTCAAAATTGAAAAATTTGAAAATTCAACGCGACAGTCATTAGTATATAAGCATTTATAACAATATATATATCATAATTATATATCAGGCAAGACATTGAACTTAATTTGGGTTTTTAAATCAAAACTACAAATACAATGGACACTGATTCCAGGATTCAATGCAGCAAGTACAACTTACATTCTAAAAAATCTCACACTAATTTATCATGTAATAAATCATTTTACAAACTAAAAATTACTATATGGAACTGAACAACAAGCTTCATTTTTTTTGTTTTCTCAAAATGAAAAAAATGTGACATCACAGGTTTTCCCTTTGCACCCTTCATATATATATATATATATATATATATATATATATATATATATATATATATATATATATATATATATATATATATATATATATATATATATATATATATATATATATATATATATATATATATATATATATATATATATATATATATATATATATTATATATATATATATATATATATATATATTATATATATATATATATATATATATATATATATATATATATATATATATATATATATATATATATATATATATATATATATATATATATATATATATATATATATGTCTTAACTAATAAAATAATGTAAAATTATGAAAACATGAACACAAAAACTGTTAAATGTAACCTTGTTTCTTTACCACAGAATCTCCTTCAGAAGTTGAATTAATCTAATAATCAGGGGGTTAGTAGATTTATTAGTAGTTAAACAAAATTAGTTATTAAATTAATTAGTAATTTTATTTTTAAGCAAAATAAATTATGTTGATTCAATAAGGGCAGGATTGAAAAGTCTTTTTTTTCAAAAGGAATGACCTTTATAAACTAAATTAGAAATTAAAAAAAAAATAAAAACGTTTAGATAAGGGAAATAATACCTAACATGCTACCTATAAATATCTATTTATTTTAGAGAAAAGACATTGTTAGTAGAATGCTAAACTTTTAGTTATAGCCATTAAAACTTGTGTCATGGAAGGAACCTATCATTCCTTCCGTGACACAAGTTTTAAATGCCTATAACTACTAACAATGTCTTTTCTCAAAAATAAATAGATACTTATAGGTAGTATACTTAGATATTTCTGCCCCCTTCTAAACGTTTTTATATTTTTTTTGAATTTCCAATTTAGTTTACAAAGGTTTTTGAAAAACAAGACTTTTCAATCCTGCCCATAATTACTATAATTTTACTGTTTATCTGAATTTTAACATAATTTTACAGTTTATAAGTATATAGGCTATGGCATCTCATACTTTTCAACTTTCATTAAAAATCATTTGGCCATTATTTTGCCTGCAAGTACATACATTAAGGAATGATACAAGCTTATTGAAAAAAAAGCAACATTAACAAAAGAAGAAAATATTTAAAAACTCAAAAAGGGAAAACCATGACTATGATTTTAAATCTTCTGTGTATTATTACTACTAATACTGTGTATACTTCTGTGTGTATTACTAATACTAATATTTCCAAGTAATACAACAAGGCTGCAAGCATGCAATAAGACTGCAAGCAAACACTATTCAGTTGGAAAGAAAACAAACAATAGAAGTTAAAGAAAAGAAGAAACTGTTAATAGAAGATTTGAAAAGTTAAAGGTTGTATGAGTCAGGAAAACATGAAAATAGGAGGGAGCTTTAAAGCAATAATGTGCAAGGAAAAAAACTAGATGAATAAAAAATTTTAAAGCATGAAAGTAAAGATACAGTAAAAGGATGCAACTTTGCTGAACAACAAGTCAAACAAGAATTAATATTGGCTGATGAAACTGGAGATGATAGCTACTTAAAGAAGTGATCATGATAGTATTTGTAGAAAAGAGAATGAGATACTACCTTAAAATAAGGGGAGAGAGACTCAAGCTTAGCAGATAAAGCAGGCCTAACTACATTTACATTTTGGACCTTGTCTAAATGAGTAAGAGAATCTTTTGAGTATGATCCCCACCATTTCCCTGGTATTACCACACTCAACTTGTTTCTCCACACAGTGGCCTTGTTTGTTAAGGTTCATGTTAGGGAGATATAGAGTTAAGACCATGGTTGTAACCATATAAAGTTATGATCATGGTTGTAACCATAACTAAAGTAGCCTCCTTGACTTTAGTGGCCTTCAAGGCCTCGGGGAGGTGAAATAAAATAAAAAATAAAAATAAATTGTAGAACCAGCCCAAATATGACAACAGTATTCCATTAAGGGATAAATAAGAGATTTGCAGACGTAGAGAATAGAATCATGAGTAAGAAAATGACATGCGCAATAATGAGAATCACAGATGCAAACTTTGCAATTGATTGTATATATTATGTATAAACTATAATATATTGCATATTTATGTTTAATTCTTTTGGTTACTTTGGGCGTGACTCATTCATAGATAGAACTTGACTCATTCATAGATAGTACATGGCATCTTCAAGCTCTATCTATGAACTAACCCAAAGTTGTAACTTAGGGGTTTACTATGACCTTGACAATGTACAACAAAAGTATTAACAGGGACACCATCCATGCAGAAGATGGCACTGTTAATACTCTGATATTTAACATCTGTTGATGAAACCAGCCTCTCTGAGAGCTACCACAGAGTTTAGTAAGTCTAATTACCAACCAACCTCAGAACCATTAAACTGAGCTGTACCCTCGTTAGGAGATAACAAAAAAAGTAAAAGTTGCATAACCACTATCAACGAGGTAAAAGTAAAAATTTATGAGTAGAGTCAAGAAGATCCAGCATTCATTACCCTAGGAAAGAAACAATCTAACACAGTTTTACATCTATGTCAGCCTAATACATGAGGAAAAGAGTGCAAGGCTGGTCAATAGAATTTTTCTACTAAATTAAGTCTTTGCCTAGGAGGCAATCTCCAAGACAGTAGCTAGATGCAGTTGACACCTACCTAAGATAAGTATTTATATCAAGACATGACCTGATCTGGAGTAGTTAAAAGAAGTTATTTACAGTATATATTAAATATATATATTAAAAAAAATAATGGAAATGTATGTTATATCGTTATAACCACTAGATGGAAACTCAGTTAACTCTACATGATTCAAACAGAACACAAACATACATATAGTAGCTAAAGGGTGAATGAACACCACTTCAGAGGTTCAGACAGAACAACTCAAAGCCTAAAGTATTTACAATAAAAAAAGATGAATTCTGAAAAGTACTAGAATGTACATGGCAAAATAATAACTCACTAAAACTTAGCTTTTTTTTTTTTTTTTTTTGCACAGAAACATTAATCATTTACAGATTAACAGTAAAATTATGTTAACTATATATAGATTAGCAGTAAAATTATGTTAATAACATAAAAGTTAAAAGATAAACAGATTAACAAACTATGTTAATTACATACCAATCAACAGTTATATATTAGTTATGGAAAAATCAGAAGTAATTTTATATTATAAAAAGGTTATTACAAAGAATTAAAAATTAAACTTAATTATACCACAACATCTTGTGACAGATATGTTGAGCAAACATCATCTAGTATATCTTTAGGGTGACCAGATTTTGATATCTTTCCTTTTTCCATCAAAACAACAAAATCTGCATCGCGAATAAATTTAGTTTGGTGAGTGACAAGAATTCTAAAATAATTTTAACTTCATAACTTCATAATTAGTCCAGCTATGTTCATGTTCACTTATAATAACTGTACTGAAAGTAATGTTAAACAAAATCTTATTTTCCAACTTTTAACTGATTTTTGTTAAATAGCATAATATTAAAAAAAAACAAAAAAAAACAATGGTATATAAGTAAAATTTGCAGGCAATAGCATTAAAACTTTACGAAACCCAGAATTTTCTTAAACCTTATGGATCTTACTAGAGTTTTCTGGACTGTTCTGGATACTTTTAGAAGCCTTTAAAACTTTTTAGAACTTTCTAAATTTTTTTTAAAACTTTCTAAAAATTTATGGAGATTTTAAGTCTTTATGGAGAGATCAATAATAAAGTGAGATCAAGACTTAGACTATATAAACTGCATTATTGAGGAACCCTAACAATTATATATGTATCTGTATTTGCCAGATGGCAAATACAGATTCCAATTGTTCATATATAAATAATATGGCAAATACTTAATTCTATTAATAGTAGAAATAACTATTCATTATATGTCAAATAATATAAACGTACAATAGCACATATTTATTTAAAAACTTTGGCATATAAAATTCGCCGATTGGTCACACACGAGCAGTGAACGCCTGAGGGAAGAAATGAAGTACATTAGAATAAAGGAGAATTATTTATTAGACAAAGCATTTTTGACAGTTGTCAAGACAAAAATAAAGATTAATAGAGGAATATTTAAAAATAAATAAGACAAGCTATACAACCAAAACAGTACTCAACCATAATAACAATAAAAATAAAACAAAAAAAAAAAAAAAAATAATAAAAAATAAAAAATAAAAATACAAATAAAAACAAATAATAATAAAATATATATATATATATAAATAAATAAAAAAAAAAAAATTGTTTTATAATTACCAATATGAACTAAAATATACAAGAAATACATAACCAGTCAAAAATTTGTAAAACAAAAAACTATTCAACAAATTAAAAATATGCTAACGACAATGAAAGGACTAATAATGGAAAAAAAACATTAATGCTAATGTGTAAACATAACTATTCATTATATGTCAAATAATATAAACGTACAATAGCACATATTTATTATCGTCTTTCAGAAAAATATTCAAGTATTATCTTCAACCATAATGTCCTATAAAAAAAAGTGTTTCCACTAGTGAAAGAAAACAAAAGAAATGAAGATAAGCAGAATACCACTTAAAATTGTTGGTCACTATCTTATTCTGGGAAATCCATCAAAGGGAGACAAGAACACATAAGGCAAATTGAGAAAAAAGTAACAAGTTTATAGCAAAAGAAATTAAATTCAAGTTGTACAGGTGAAACTGGATCAAGTGCTCAATTCAAGAATTACGATACATGTGTAAAACAAAGAAAATATGATCCATTGAGTAAAATTTTTGACATCACAAAAAAAGATGGCTAATGGCTCTGAAGAGAGGACAAAAGATTGTATCATCTTTAGATGCATTTCAGCAAAGGACAGGTTGGGTATACAGCTGGGAAAATCTTCAAATTATCAACCAGTAAAGCAGCAACCATATGTCGACAGTTATCTCAAGATGAGATTGAAATTCAGACATCTTCTAAGTCTGGTATATTCAGATAAGCTATTTAAAAAGTTGTTAAATGTAAAGAAGAAATGAAGAAAACATTAGGTTTAGAAAGCTGGCCAATGCACTTTAAACGTAACCAAGAATATCAAGTGTTAGTGTTAAAGATTATCAAGTGTTAGAGAATACACAATGAGAAGTTAAGTTACAAGCACAAGCAGAAACTGTTGTTAAAGGTAACAACATTTAATAGATACTTTTGGTGAATACAATTTATGGAAGAGTATAAAGATGATTGCAGTAGAAACACTGGAAGAAGGTATGGGATTGTCAGAAAGTTACAAAGACCTTTTACTGAAAAGAGACTGGAAGAATCGCAATTGATTGGTTGTTAACATCATGTTCTCTACCGAGTCCATCGCATAGTAATGGATGAAGAACTTGGAGAAGACAACATGTCACCCAATATCAAAAATCTGTTTATTCCAGAAATCCTATAGAACTAGAAACAGCTCAGGAAGAATTTCAAGAATGATAAAGAAGTGATTACGGAAACAGCAGGATAACATGATGATATAAAATTTCTATTTCATTTTACTCAGGTATTCCGCTTTTTTGAAGAATTTTGAATATATGTATATATATATATATATATATATGTATATATATATATATATATATGTATATATATATATATATATATATATATATATATATATATATATATATATATATATATATATCTGTGTGTGTGTGTGTGTAAAAACTCATTGTTATTCTTAACAAAAGAGATCTTGAGAAAGTTCTTGAGAAAGATTGGTGATAAAAAATTACGATTAGATATAGCAGCTGAACAACAAGAAGGTGAAAACCATGGAGTAGAATCAGGGGCGTGCTGGCTCCAAAAAGCACATGCGGAATTTTTTCAAAAAGGCCTATATATGCTGGGATTTGAAGGCTCGCATTTGTATATATATTTAAATATATATATATATATATATATATACAAATATATATATATATATATATATATATATATATATATATATATATATATATATATATATATATATATATATATATATATATATATTTAAATATATAAATATATATATTTAAATAAATATATTTTACATATATATATATATATATATATATATATATATATATATATATATATATATATATATATATATATATATATATATATATATATATATATATATATATATATATATATATATATGTATATATTTATTATATATATTTTTTTTTAGCGTTATTATATATACAAGAGTCGAAAAGAAACCTTTTTCTTCAAAATCAGTTAATTTTTTTACATTGTTTTTGGTTTTATTTGAATCGGCATTTTATTTAGTGAGTTTTTTAAGTAAACAAAATAATGCCAGTACATTATTTTGTGAGCGAAGAATTTAAAATATTTATAATCTATCAATCTTTAAATTAATAGTTGTTAAAATAATTATAGATATTTTATATCTAGATATTTTATTAATACAACTAAATAATGGTACATTATTTTGTTTACTTAAAATTATTTTAAGTAAACAAAATAATGTACCATTATTTAGTCGTATTAATAAAATATCTAGATATATATAATTATTTTAACAACTATTAATTTAAAGATTGATAGATTATAAATATTTTTAAATCTTCGCTCACAAAAAAAAAAAAAAGTGTGCTAAATGGAACACCCTGAGATGTAGAAAAGTGATGAAAAATTATTTATAAAGTACAAGCGTTAGTACAAGAGGAAATGTCTATTAGCGTTCCAAAAACAACGATACATTTTTTTTAACGTGCCCCAAGAAGTCCTTATGGTCTTATCAACTTGAAGTTCAAATTAAATGCATACAATTTTTAAGATTTTCCATTCTATGTCAAATTTTAAATAAAAAAAGCTATAATTACAACACAGATTTTACAACTATGTTCTTTTAAAAAAAAAAGCTTTTACTAAAGTTTATAATTTTAAATATTAGTTTTAATGTATTTGCTGTCCCTGAAATGAATGAATCCGGAATACTTTCAAATAGAGAATGCTTTATTTATTTATTCGTATATATAGAAAAAACATTTAACTATTTTTTTAAATAGCAGTAGTACATACAATTAGAGCAATTTTATAAAAATTCACACAAATTATTTATATTTAAAAACATTACGATTTTTGTTTATGAAAAAACAATTAATCATTCTAATATAACAAAATTTTTATCAGTACGAATATTCCCTAATTTAAAATTGAACACAATTATTTCTAATAATAATCATCAGCTAACTTAAATAGTTTTATCTATATAACGACTAATATAATAAGCGATTTAAGTGATGATTTAAGTAAGTCAATTATTTTTTCCAATATCGTCTTTGTTTTGAGGCAAAAATTACAAACGGTTGCATTTTATTATGCAAAATACTATTAGTCTCACTAAGAGCAATTAAGCCAGGTAGACTTATCAACAGGTAAGATTCAATGGTTACTTTCAAAAAGATAGAGCGTGGTACCCCAAGCAATGAGCTGTGTAGTTGCCTTAGTCCTACTAATTAACCCAGTCATAACAAAGGGCTCCTTATGTGGCCAGCTTCTCTGAAAAGTACACAGTGTTTCTACACGTCTTTTTTTTAACTTTTTGATTTGAGTTCTTCTCAGGGAGATTATCTTGGGAGAATGATGAAGGACAACCTGTGATTGTTTTCATCACTTAAAAAAGTCTTCTAATTACTAAATACTTATTTCTAAATTTAATCACAAATTAAAACAAACTTATACAAAATGAATGTACTTTAACTTATCACATGCAAACATTTTTTTATCTCCTAAACAAACCATAATAAGATGAAATATTCTTCAAATAAATAGAATGAAAATTGAATACAAGGTTATGGGATAGATACAAAGTTATCTAGGTTATGAGAATTGTTAACAAGGTTATGGAATGAAAATTGATAACAAAATGTTTAAATATTTAATAAAACTTCTGCCAAACTGAACAAAAGTTTCAAAACCTTTATTAATGGTTTCATTTTTTTTTTTTTTTTGTAAGTTCTGACCTAGTTTTGTCTTTAAGCAAACCCATAATGCAATGTTTGAAAATGTGAGATGCCACATGATCATCTACAGCTGACAAAGGGCTATCCAATAAATATACAGATTTGTTCTAAAAATAACAAATAAATGGTGTCATACTGAAAAAATTTAATACAAGACTTTTTATTAATTTTTTTTTTTTTTTTTTTTTGTATAATAAACTGTTAGGATTAACATTAGGATTTTAAAAAATTTTTAAATTCACTTGGATTAAGTGTCTAATTTTTTTAAATATTATAAAATTTTTTTCCCGATTATAAAAAATGATAAAAAAAACAACCTAACATTACCTGATAAACTGCTCTAGCAAGTGAAATCCTAGCTTGTTGCCCTCCACTTAATGTTACACCATTTTCACCAACATAGGTTTTATCACCAGCAGGCATTAGCAAAAAATCCTAGAAATATTTTTTTAACAAGTTAATATGATTTTTATGAGCAGTTGTAGTTTTTTTTTAAGAGACAATATTTTCAAGTGACTTTTTTCTGTAGTTTTTTTTTAAGAGCTTGTTTTGCAGATATTATTATTGCAGTCTTCTTCGTTTAGCCAGCGCTTTTGCGCTTAAGTCTTTTTGCGCTTGCCCACACGCCCACAAAACTTTATCGAGTGCATAATAAAATGTTTGCCAAAAAAATAAAAAGGTTTATTTTAAATTATAACGAAACATTTTTGTTCATTTGTTCAACTTTTATGAAAAATTTCTTTTTTTACCAGTTTTTTTTTAATTATTTTATCTAGTATTTATTCAAAGCATTCTTTCCTCTATTTCTATTTTAATTTAAATAGTAGAAAAAAATGAATTTTTAAAATCGCACAGGTTAACATAAAAATAACCGTCCTGCCAGCACTTTTTTGTGCCCTGGTATCAATTTTCAAACGGAGAAGACTATATATGCAGATATTATTATATTTTGAAGAGAAGAATGCTTTTGTTATATACATTATTAACGGGGTAAATTAAATTATGAATAACATATTTACAATATTATTTACTTAAATAATTATGTTATTTGTTTTTTATTCTTATTTTTTTCAAATGAAGATGGGAGAGCTCCTTTCGCTTCCTCCCTATGTCTATGGCTATACAAGTTCTAAAATGATCACTAATTTATAGTATATTGACATTTTTTTCAAAAATGTTTACAAAAAAATATGATTTTTTTCAAATAAATTTACTTGAAAACTGCAAGAAAGCAAGATAAATAAATAAAGAGTATATATTCAAAATATCCCATTCTTTATTAACGCATAAAAAAAATTTTATATTTCAATTTATTTATATTATATAAATATTAAACATTCAATAAAGTTATCATAATCAAAAACCTTTAATCAAAAACACTCTTTTTAAATTATAATTTCATTTAATAATACTTTATTTATTACTTTAGAAGGTAAAAATAATGGAAACCATGGAACTATAAGAAAAAAGTGTTACTGAGATCATAGCATGGCTGAAACCACCTGAGGAAGAACAAGGAGAAAATGAGCACAAGTTAGCTGTACCCTTTTATGATATAACAGAAACATATAATTTATATTCATAAAAAAAAAGAAAAATCTATTAAATACAAAATTACTTTTAATCTATAAAAAAAAAAAGTTTCAATAATTTTATTTCAATCATATATTTTTACCTCAATCAATGCACATGCAAAAATAACTTTTTCATAAGAAACAGCATCGAAATCATTTCCAAATAAAATGTTATCTCTGATTGTGCCTTGCTGTATCCAGGCTTCCTTAACAAAATAAAAAAACTAAAATCTAAAAAATTGAACAATAAACTTGAAAAAGTTGAAAAATAATTATATCAAATAAATTGCTAAACTAAGATATGAATCAATTAAACAACTGATGGTAATAATAAGTGACCTATACAGTAAATATAATGTCACCATTGTACTAATTTTATGTTGCAACATTGTATTAATATATTATTAGTAAGCAAACACTTCAATTCAAACTGAAAATGTTTTAAAATTTTATTTGTTTCTTGTTCTAAATTTTCCCAGTTTTGAACAACCGCAAAAAAAATTTTTTATGGTTATGGACATTTTTATTTCATTTTAAGACTTGTCTACTACATTTTAAGAAATGTCTACTACTACTTATTTAACCTTTATTTATTTTTTACTTTTTTGTGCAATGTCATTCATTAACATCTGCATAACATTTAAGTAGTTTTTAAAAAGTCTAAATTTTCAATAGTGGTGCAGTGGTAAAGTGCTTGCTTTGTAAACTAGAAGTTTTGAATTCAATCCCAACCAGAATACTAGTAATACTGCACTTAACTTGCAGTACTACTAATCTCCATGCAGCGGCTTGTTTGTTTGTTGAGGCTTGTGTTTTTTTTTCGACTACTAACTTTTACACATTTACATTTAGCTTTTAAATGTGAATTATACAAGAATATAAAATAACTTTATTTACTTATATAAGCTTGTATTTTGTAATGTTCATAAGATTAATTTTTATTAAAATTACAATTTTTAAACAAACATTTTATTTTTAAAAAGAAATTTTTTTTTATCCAATTACGATAGAAATAAATAAGTAAAAATCATTAATAATAATTTTTAAATTTGTTACATGAAGCGCTTATTAATAAAGTTGTAATGCTCAAATTAAAATTAAATTAAAATTGCTTGTTGGCAGTTTATTTTATTTAAACCGCAGGCGCATTTTATTTATTTATTTTTTTCCTATTTTTACAAATAAAAGAGTAACCTTTTTTTTTAACTAGACTTAAAAAAAAAGCATAAAATTATTAAAAATTACTATTTTAAAAAGAACAATTTATTTTTTTTAACAATTTTTTTTTTTGCAACTTTTTTAAAAAAATAAATGTTTACAATTTAAAAATATTAAATACAACACTTTTTAATGAATTTGATAAAAATTGTTCATTTATTAAACAATCATTAGTAGTAATTTGTTACTTAATTTAAAAGCCTGTGTAACTTTAATAAAACGTTTAAACGGATTTATTTCAAACGTAATTAAAAATGTAACAAAAAAGTTTTGCTTCGAATTTAAGTTTTTATTTTTCATTTTTTTTGTTAGTGCTTATTATAATTTATTTTTCGTAAAGAATTTTTTTTTGTTTCTTTTTTTGTTAGTTTTTTTAAGTTTTTTCCTAGTTTAAGTTTAGCTTAGTTTTTCTACATTCAGCAAATTTTTGAAATGTTTAAATCATCAAAACATATAAGCAATCGTGGTCAAATTGTCAAGAAATAAAACCATTTGCGTGGTCAGCAATAGCTCTCGATCACTTGGGGAAGTGAACTAACATTTGAAGAAACATGTTTTAAAACAAAGTTCAATGTGTTTTCAGATTACCAGATCTACTTAAACAGGCTTGGTCAGGAAGCGGGAGCGATCGCTCTCGAATACTGACCACGAAAATTATATTTAGTTGCAAAAAACTGGCCAGGTTTTTAGTCGTTTTGAGAACATTTAAGTTTATGTACGAAACAAAAAATTTTTGTTTTACGGACATACATGGAAACATAAAAAACTTGAATGTTCTCAAAACATCTTGGTGCGAAAGAATAAAAAAAATATTCGCAAACACTAAAAACCCGCCAAAAACTAATTCTCTTGATTCAAAAAGTACGCTGACTAAGCGAAATAAAGAATATATATTATTTGTTTACAAAAATAAATGTTTTAAACATATATTAATTAAATTGTCAAAATTTTAAAAGTGTAACATAAATTGTAATTTTATTAGTATATTCTTATTTTTTATTTAAAAAGTATGTATTCTTTATGTAAATGTAATTTTGTGTATCTGCTTTTTATCGTAATGTATCTTTTAAAGCAATTTTTATGATTTAAACAAAGACTTACAAAAATAATTGCGTTTTCAATGAAGTTATAATCGTTAAAGTTAATAAAACTAATAATGTAACAAACATATAAGAAGTTTCTGGTTACTAAACACAAACAACGCATACAAAGTAACTCGCGGATGAACAAGCATCGCGCCTGAGGTCACGACAGAACACAAATATATAATAGCAAATAATTAGATATAAAGAAAAGTTTCTAGATATTGGTTTACTAACTCTAATTATTTTCGTTTAAGTTGCCATTCTTAAAACTCGTTATACTTTTTTCTGCTTCAAATACTAATTAAAATTAAAAAGCCCACTCACTAAACATCATATATTGATATTGTGAAGCAGTTTCGCTTCCTCATCATAAAGTATTTTTAACCTTTTTAGTTGAATTCTACCTTGTTAAACTTTTCAAACTACACGAAACATAAAATAGGTATTAAAAAAATTAACTTTTTTATTTATAAAACAATTTAGCTTAAATAAAACTAAAACTTGCAAACTTTGTTTAATAAAAAATATTTGTTTCCTTTTTAAACAATTGTAAGATGTTACTTTATATAAAAAACATCGCTTAATTTTATTAAAAAAAAATTATAAAAGAGCAATTTCGAAAATATTAGTTCTAAATTTTTTATAAAAGAGCGATGTTTCGAAAATATTAGTTTGTAATTAATTTAGCTTTAAGTTTTTTCGCGTTTAAAGATATTTTATTTGCCTAATTTTTTTTTTTTTTGTAATTGTCTCTCATTGGTCCAATTAATCTTGGTCGCTTTTTTTTTTTTTTGCTTTTTAAAATGTTCTCAAAACGACTAAAAAATCTGGCCAGCTTTTCGCAACTAAATATTATTTAGCAATCGAGAGCGATCGCTCCCGCTTCCCCACCAAGTCTGCTTAAACATCTAAAAATGTTAAAAATAAAATTTTATTAGCCTCATTTATCAAATACTATCGATTTTTTAATTCAAGTGGCAAAAATATAAATATAAAAAAAGTACAAAAAATATAGTATATTACATATATATATATATATATATATATATATATATATATATATATATATATATATATATATATATATATATATATATATATATATATATATATATATATATATTTATAAATATATATATAAAAAATATGGCAATATATATATATATATATTTATATATATATATATATATATATATATATATATTTATATATATATATACATATATTTATATATATATAAAATATGGCAATATATATATATATATATATATATATATATATATATATATATATATATATATATATATATATATATATATATATATATATATATATATATATATATATATATATATATATATATATATATATATATATATATATATATATATATATATATATATATATATATATATATATATATATATATATTATACATATAATATGGCAAATGTTTATCATTAGATACTTTCATAATATAAATTAAAATTAATTAAAAGAAAAAAATTAAAATAAAAAATCTTTATGTGCTTTGAGTATACAGAGGATGTAAACTCTTTATCTATAATCAATCTTTTTATAACTCTTGTTAGTAAAAAAAATCAATTTTAATACCTGAGAAACTAAACCAAAACCATTAACATCATCCAAAAGGTAAACCTAGTTAATATTTTAATAAACTGTTTTTAGAAAAAATATTTTTCAGAGTAAAACATACAAAGTTAATATAAATGCCATACATCACCACTCTCTTTACTTATTTCAGAGCTGATTGCAGCGAGTAATAAGCTTTTGCCGCTTCCCACCTGACCTATGATGCCAACAAAACTTCCCTGTTTTTTAAAAATTAAAAGAATTTAATATTTAATCATCACCCTCTATATATCTTATCTCCATATATCAAATCAGATTTTAATTAAATCTTTTATAACAACAAATCTTAATAAACCTTTTGAACTTTAAGATCTATGTTCTTGAGAAGGTATTCTTTAACAGTATCTTTATTTGGAAGACTAAGTGTAAATGATGAATTTTTTATTTCAATTGAAATTTCACCTTCTAAATAAAAAAAAAAAAGCAAGAATAAGTAATAGTAAATTATGAATTATAAATATTTAAACATTGTAGTTAAAATTAGAGTAATAAAAATTACTATAAACTCAAAAGAAAATAAAAAATAAACAAAACTGAAAAACAACAAAAAAAAAATTAAAATAGTAAACAATGAAATATCAAATACAAAGAGCAGGTGGTTGTTTTGAGCATTTTCATTTTTAGAAAACTTTGTTGGTAAATTTAATTATAAAAAAATACCTTAAATTATAAATTATATTAAAAAAATACCTTTGCGTATTTTATAATAGCTATCATCTTTTATTTCTGGTTGATTAAAAAAAGATTCAATTCTTTTCAATGAAACCCATGCCTCCATTAGTCCATTTAGTACCCATGGGAATGCATTCAAGGGAGCAATTAACATGTTAAACAAAGCAATACTTGTGAATACCTAAAAAAAAAGCATTTCAATTGTATTAAGATATATTTATATATTTATCCTCTTATACTTCTTGAACCTTTTCTAAAAAAAATTTCATAAAACTTTTGTTTTTAGAAGCATTTTTATTTATTATCTTTACGAAAAAATAATAGTACTTTTGATTAAAAATAAAAAATTAAAAACAATTTAAACCCTTTTTGTATAGTTACACATATAATATTCAAATCAAGCTATGATTATAAAGTTATATGTAGAGACCACTTTTCATTTTTTTTTTTTTTAATATAACTACAACTTTTTTTAAATATAACTACAACATAAATAGTAATAGTATTTTAGGAAGAAAACTTTCTACCCTTAAAACCTGAAAAGAAAATGAAAATTGTCAATTTTAGAAGTAGAAATTTGAAGTCTGCTATTGTTATGAATAGTGATAAAAGAATTATAGAATTACAGAATTATTAGAATTATAGCTGGAAAAATATTTTGGACACTGACTTTTAGAATTTTAACATTAAGGAGGAGTATTTAGATGGCAGTTCTATTCACATAGAACTGCCATCTAAAGTTCTATCCACATAGCAGTTCTATTGGCAATAATACTATTCAATAATAACAAGCCTGTTTCTAAGTTTCATAACTTTTTTAGATTTTAGTATTCTTAAAAATGTAAATAACAATTCTTCAAAATGTAAATTCAATAACCTTGAATAAGAGATCAGTAGATGTAGAGAATGGGATCAGAAGTAAGAAAATGGCAAGCACGATAAAAAGAAGCAACCTTAGCAGATGCTAATTTAGCAATTGATTGTATATATAGTTCACATGAAAGGTCAATAGTAAATGATAATCCAAGAAAACGTAAAGAAGACTCAGTGAGAGTGTTACCATTTATTAATATAGAAATGTCAACAGTATTGCGATAATTGTTTGCAGTAAATAACTGAGTTTTACTAATAATTTTTACTAATAAATTTTAGTAAATAACTAAAATTTACAAGCCACTGTAAGCCCAAAATCTGCTACAGAAGTGAGATCAGATTCAATATTGGCTGCCTGTTCTAAGCAATCAAAACGAGAAAATTTTTTGTCAAGACAGGAGTGTAAAGTTTAGATGTAAGCTTTAGATATAAGGTTGTCTGGAAGATCATTAATGTAGAAACACCCCAGAAATTACTGGAAATGAAAAATAGTATTGACCTTCAAGGAGGAATTCAATAAAGTGGTTAGAAAGAAATGAATTGATAATCTCAAAAACTTTCCCATATGAAGCAAGCTTATATAGAAGATTAGCATATATATATATATATATATATATATATAATATATATATATATATATATATATATATATATATATATATATATATATATGAGTTGTGACTGACTTAAAGATTTTTTAGATGTAAGCAGTGAAGTTAAAGTTGCTTTGTATTTTTTGAATCAATTTTATGTGGTGATAACAAGAACCAGTACAATCAGTGTAAAGTAATTAGTGGCTATCATCTAATTAAAATGCTGTTAAATTTTTTGTGTTATCAAAATAACATCACGCATAAATAAATCTGTGGGGCAAAATTTTGATGCTAAAGTAATAAAGTTTAATTTTATTATAAAGAAAAATATGTTAGCTAAAATTCCAATCCATTTTTGTTTGAAAAACAATGCATAGATACATTTAGTTTGGACTTTATTTAAAGATGCCATTTTGGTGTAATATGATGTATATTGTATGTATATGTATTTGGTGTAATATATGTAATATGTGTAAGCATGCTCAAATTATCCAGTATTTTTCATTGAAATTACCTAGTTTAAATTCCTAAAATAGTAGTGTTTTTAAATTATTTTTTGAATAAAAACAAAACATAGTTAAAAATTTTAATATTTAAACAATTCTAAAAATTTTTCTCTAATTTATATTCAAAAAAATTGAACTTTTATCGTTCAAAGGTTTAAGCTAATAAAATTGAAAAAATAAAGAACTAATTTTTTCTTTTTTTCTTGCGGAAAACATAGTAGTATTGCTTCAACAAAATGTGGCTTAAAATGCGGCTTATTCTTTTAATGATAAGTTTCATTAATGACGAACCATTATATTAGAAAAATTAGTTCTAATTGTCAGGTTGATATTTTTTTACTTAATTAATGTTATTTTTTTGAGCTAATTTAAAGTACTCATATTACCAAGTTGTTTGGGTAATATGAGCACTTTTGCTACTCATTTAAAACCTCTGTGTTTTTAAGAAAAAAATTTGGGTGCCCAAATATCTAAGTAGATCATGAGTAGGGATCCCTAATAATTGTTTATTCACTAAAACCTTAGATCTAGCATAATTATTTTTGGAAATAATCCAATTTTCGCTTAAGGTGCTCATATTACCCTAATCTACCCTCTATATATATATATATATATATATATATATATATATATATATATATATATATATATATATATATATATATATATATATATATATATATATATATATATATATATATATATATATATTAGAGTGCCTTTAATCCACCTTTAGATGAAAAAATCAGAATTCAGTTTTTTACATGTGTTGTGGTTATCTTTTGTGATTAATTTAAGTCTAATTTAAGTTTAATTGCCCAATATTTAGTTCATGCTCAAGCTCATTTTCTATTCAACAGGTCCCTAATATTGTTTTAAAAAAAATTCCTTTGAAAATAGATCAACTTAATACTCAAATGAAGGGAAATTTTATATAAATCCAAAAAAAAATTGTAAAGAAAATAAATCAACTTGTGGAACTGTATTTTATGTTTTTTATTTTTGATATAAAAACTGTAGTTTTTCTGTAATAGAATCAAAAAAAGGATTAAAACATATGATAACCATACCACATTAAAAAAACTGATTTGTGATTGAGATCTAAAAGGACTTAAAGGTACCGTAATATCTATATAAATATATATACATATGTCCAAGTTTTATTTATAAAACTTTTTAAATATAACTAGTCATAAATATAACAAGTCAAAAAAAAAGTTTTTTAAAAACCAAAATATTTAAAAATAATAAAAATTGTTTCTACAGTTTATAAAGGTCTTTTTAAGGTAACTTGTCACTTCTAAACTGTCTAGACACTAAATGTAAATTTATAATTTTTTATTTCTTTATTATCACGCAATTTTCAGCGAAAGCTGTTCACCAACAACGCTTCCATCTAAAACTTGAAAGTAATGACATTTACACAATTCTTTTGTTTTTTTGTTTTCTTAAAAAAGGGGCTCAAACCAAGAAAGTTGTTTATTTCTAGCTTTTCTTTTTCATTCAGTAATATAACAGTAATTTTTAAATTGTTTGAAGCGATTGCCAAGTCGCTAGCGCAAAAAATTATATATTTTTCAATTAAAACATTTCTTTTGGCAACACATTTTACAGTGGCCCCAATTCCATCCACAACTCTTTTTTCCATGCATTGCAGCAAAAAAAAGCCAGTGCATTTTAATTGTATGCTTTTCTTCTAAAATTTTCATTGATGCTAAAATATACTTATTTTTGAATTGAGATGTTGTGTTGTCACTGAAAATATGAACTTCTGTAATATTGTCTGATAGAAGCTCAATAATTTTATTTATGTTTGGAATAACAGATAATTATGTACGATTGCTTGAATCAGAAACTAGCACAAAAGATTTAATTTGATAATGCCAAACTGCACATGTAAAAATAGAAACATGATTTTGACCGAAATGAGCTGCTTGCGTTTCATTTTGGTAAAAACAAGTATATTTTTCTGCCCAGTCAACTTGAGTAACAGCCTTATTTGAGTCTTTTTGAATTGCTGATTCTACATTTAATTTAAATACAGATGATTGACACTTAATTTAAATACAGATGTTTCTGCCACTGATTCCACAAAACGTCTAACTCAAATTGTTCCAACTGAAGTAATAATTTATCAAAAAGACTATACATGGTACATTCCTTGCAAACAGCATTGAAACATTGTTTTTTGGTTTTTCTCAAATAAAATTCTGAATCATTAAGTTTCCCGTTTTAATTGTAGAAAATACATCTGAACCCAATAAAAGTGATTTAAGAGCATAACGCATTTTCATGTAACATGCAAACACATACAGTATCGGACAAAACAAGTGCAACCAAATAATGTTAATTTAGTTTCTTTATATAAAAGTGCTGCATTTATTTAATTTAGAGAAATAACTGTTTAGAGACAACATTCTTCAAGTTTTATTTATAACAAAGTTCAATATTTGTACACGAAAATTAATAAATGAATCAAAAGTATTAAAAAAAGTTGATTTCCTTCTGGACAAAACAAGTGCAACTCCACAAAATGTTGACCAAGCTGTATTTCGCTATCAATATTTTGTGGCAAATCCTTTGTTGTCGATCATAGCCTTGCATCTTCGAGGCATAGATTCGATCAGGTGATCAATGAAACTTTGTGGAATCGCTGCCCAGGCCTTTTGGATTTGTTCAAACAGTTGATCCGTATTACGAACACCTTCACGATTAATTCTGCAGTTGACGATCTCCCACAGGTTCTCGATAGGGTTGAGATCCGGAGATTGAGGCGACCAATTCATCACCGATAGGTGGTTGTCTTGAAACCACTGCTTGACTACATTTGCAGTGTGTTTCGGATCGTTGTCTTGCTGAAAAACCCATTTTATTGGCATATTCCATTCAGCATAAGGTAGCATAACATCTTTCAGGGTATTTTTATACATGAAACGGTCCATTATTCCATCGATTCGATGTATTGGACCAAAACTGTTAGCAGAAAAACAACTCCAAACCATTACATTGCCTCCACCATGCTTCACGGTTTTATGGCAGTAACGTAAATCGAGGCGTTTTCCAGCTGGTCGACGTACACAGAAAATGCCATCGCTCCCAATGATGTTGAACTTTGATTCATCACTGAACAAGACAATTCGCCATTTCTGCACATTCCAGTCAATATGAGATGTAGCAAACAGGATACTTATCACAAATACTTTTTTGTGACATTCCACTTACGTAATTGCCAATAACTTTCTTTCTTATTTCCTAATAAGTTTATTAATTTGGTTGTCTTAAAACTTATTAGGACTATTTCCTAATAAGTTTTAAGACAACCAAATTAGAGTTGCTGTTGAAAATAAAATGCTCTGCCTTTACTTGCAACCTTTTACTTTGTCTATAAGAGAAACAAACAAAATGTTTTTGTTATGTTTTTAACTTATTGGAAGAATGAGCAAGTTAACACAAAACAAAATGAAAAACAAAGTGACCTATTGATTACAATAGTAACACAGATTCAATAATGTGACTATAATAATTGTGTCTGTGAATATAACTGCTTGTTCATGACATGATACAATTTGATATCAAGGATAAATTCTATCAATTTGTATCATGTCACGAACAAGCAGTTATATTCACAGACACAAGCATTATAGTCGCATTATTGAATCTGTATTACTATTGTAATCAATAGGTCACTTTGTGTGCTGTGGCCAAAGTTAGTCATGCAGAAACTTGAAAATAGTGTTGAGCTATTATTGCAGATGATTTTCAGTTAACTGGAAAGCTTCATCAATAAAATGAAAAAAAAAAGTTCTAATAATGAACGTAACCACACAACAACAAAATAAAACTTTCATTACTTATAGTAAGATTTGTTCGAATATATTTGCATCAATGAGTCAAAAAAGTTACTTAAGTTGAAAACTTTTGTGACTTCTTTTTATGAACTTATAACCATAGGAGCAGATGTTGCAAGCATGTTGTTATTTATTTTAATAAACATTTTATACAGTTATTTTAAGTATTTTGAAAGCTGAAAAAAAAAAAAAATGACTTAGGTACCTTTATGAATTCACTGATTCATATGCTCATTAGTTTATGTATCAATTTTTTGAGGGTGTTTTTAAATTTTTATGCAGTTATAATATTAAAGAGTTAAAAAAAAACAAAAAAAAAAACTGGTGCATAGAGTTAAATTTAAATTTATGAGAAGTCTGTTAGTTTATAGCAGTAAAATAACTTTTATAGTCCAATTAAAAAATCAATTTGCATGCAATTTGTTCCTTTAGCAATAGTCTTTGTTTTGAGTTAAGCTTGATAATAAAATAGCAATAACAGATCTTATCTTTTCAATTCCTTTATAAATATTATAAAGAAAAATTGTTCCCTCTTGGGTGTTGATAAAAACGATTGTTATTCTTTCAGCTTTCATGCACTGCTCACAATGGTTGGAACTCAGCATGGTATTTTGGTTTTAGCTGGATGATTCTGCTTGTAAACATATTAGAAGAATATATAGTATTTGTTTTGTATAAGAAGAAGATATGTTTAGGATAATGTTTTTTTTAACTTCTTTAACTGATATTTTAAATATATGTCTTATATTTGAAATAAGTTTTATTTATGTCTAATATTTTTAAATAAATATCTATGTTTTTAAATAAGCTTTAATTAAGTTTAATATTTTTAAATATATGTTTAATATTTTTAAATATATACTTTTGAATAAGTTTTAATTATGCCTGGTATTTTTAAAACTATGTCTAATATCTAAAAAAAAGTATTTTTATTTAAATTTTAAATCAATAAATATGTAATTGCCACATAGTTTAAAACGAGTTAAAGAAAAAATAAAGAAAATGAATTCAGTAACCATAATGAGCACTTTATTAATTTATATATTCAGTGATTAAAAAAAACTTACTTTAGCAGCTGTCAAATTTCCACCCATACTTATGTAAGTAGCAAATGTTATAATTGAAATAACAACAGGTGTTGCTGCCCAAAAATAAACACATAAGGCATCTAAATACTTTCTTTTCTTTACAAATTTGAGTTCGTCATATCTAAAGTTATTAAATGCATATATATAATGTGGTAGTGCAGTAGTGGTGGCTTAGTGATGGTATCAATGTGGTGGTGTAGTGATAGTAGTAATGTGGTGGTATTTATATGGTGTAGTGGTGGTGATGTAGTAGTGATGTAGTGGTGGTAGCAATCTGGTAGTGGTTTAGTGGTGGAGCAATGATGGTAATGCGGTAATGTGGTTTAGTGGTGGAGCACTTGCTTTAAAAATGACAAGTTTTGAAATTAATCATCAACATGCTTGTCTTAGTAGCGTGTTCAAATTTTTACCTTTTTCATCAAGGCTTGTGTTTTGGTTGAGAGAGGATTGTAACAAAAATTAGAAGAAAAAAAAGTACAAATCAACTGTGACTTCTCAAAGTTTATTTTAATAATTTCTAGGGCTGTACCGGATTTAATTTTTTCAAATCCGGCCGGAGCCGGATTTGCCGGATTTCTACTGACAGATCCGGCCGGAATCGGAGCCGGAGCCGGATTTCAAAACAAAACTACAGGAGCCAAAATCCTGTACATCCCTACTTGGTGTTGAGCATGGTCAACAATGTGGACTATTCAGAATACCAAGTGACTGCTGTTTTCTGTTAAACTTCATTGTTGTTATTTAAAAAGTTTTATAGCAATTTCTATATATAAATTAATAGAAATTCTAAAAAAATTCTATAGGCCATATGTTTTAAAAGTTTATAATAATTCTATTGAACTTTTTTTCCGGGATTTTGTCAATCCGCCACTGTAGTGGATCATTGTGTCTATTTATTTCTGGTTCTTTCGGATATTTCCTTAGTTGAGTTTTAATGCCTTTTAGTAATTGTTGTTTATGTGCCCTGCCACCAGCGGACGTAGACTGAATAATTTTATCAATAAATTGCCAGAGTAATGATGATGATGATGTAGAAAAATTATTAAGCCCGGCTTATTTTGGTGGATTTTCTTCAGTTTTGTCAATCTTCTGTTCAGCATGCTCAGATTGACTTCAATCTTGTTTTTTCAGCTGTCAGTGTTGCCTGTAATGAGGAGAATTTAGTTTTAAATTGTGAGTCAACCAGCCTTGTCAGTATATAAAGAGGTTTCTCTTTTCAATGCTTTTAAAACGCTCATCCAATCACTTGATTAGGGTTGACATCATAGTCTTTATAACTGCATCATTGTAGAATATCGTGTGTCTTCCCTTCAGAATTTTTTGTTGCGTTGTTATTTGAAATTAGACTAAGCTTATTAAATTATAAAGAAATATAAATATAAATACCAAAACAAATATGAGGTTCATAAAATATAGAATTACAAAAAAAATTGATTTTTATAAATAAAATATTAGGTATACATGTAAACACGGGCAAAAAAAATGTAATAAATATTTGACAAAATTCAAAACTCCGGCTAAAATTATGCCGGATTTGCTAAATTTTTGCCGGAGCCGGATTTGGGCCGGATTTGTAAAAATGGCCGGATTTCGGCCGGAGCAGGAGCCGGAGCCGAAATCCGGTACAGCCCTAATAATTTCTTGTAATAGTATAAACTAAATTCTGTTTTGAGACTCTAAATAGTACAAATTCTGCTTTGAGACTTTAAAATACTTTGAATTAAAAAAAAATTATATTTTGAAAACAGCCTTGAAAATACTTTCAAACATCAAGATTTTTTCCGAAAATTCAATGATAAATGTTTAAACAATGCTTAAAAAGTTTTTTACTTTTATAAAGTTATATAAAAGTAAAAAACTTTTTAAGCATTGCTTAAACATTTATCATCGCTTAAAAACCTTTATAAACATTTGAAAGTATTGCAAATACTTTTAAATGTTAAGAAAGGAGGTTAACAAACCTTAAAATGTTAAGAAAGGAGGTTAACAAACCTTTAAATGTTAAGAAAGGAGGTTAACAAACCTTTAAATGTTAAGAAAGGAGGTTAACAAACCTTTAAATGTTAAGAAAGGAGGTTAACAAACCTTTAAATGTTAAGAAAGGAGGTTAACAAACCTTTAAATGTTAAGAAAGGAGGTTAACAAACCTTTAAATGTTAAGAAAGGAGGTTAACAAACCTTTAAATGTTAAGAAAGGAGGTTAACAAACCTTTAAATGATAAGAAAGGAGGTTAACAAACCTTTAAATGTTAAGGAGGTTAACAAACCTTTAAAAAATAACTAAAATACTTGGCATCAAAAAATATTTAAAAAATTAAATACCAAATGGCCAATAGATCAAAACAAAAATTCAAACAAATAAAAATTGAGTAGCCTTATTTGTCTGTAAATTAAAAAATGAATAAACAAAAATAAAATGATTAGTTAGAAAAAAAACAATACCTTGCTTTCGAAACCTTGCTTACAAAAAATTCTTCCCATACATTTAATTTGATGGTGCGAATCCCGTTCAAAAATTCATTTACAACCTATAAAAATGGCTGTCATTTTGTGTGCTCTATATATATATATATATATATATATATATATATATATATATATATATATATATATATATATATATATATATATATATATATTGATAATTTAATTTCAATTAATTCATACTTTTACTCTTTGATCTTTTCTGCTCATGAGATCTTTAGATAAATCACCTATTTTATTTGCAATCCACTTATTTATTGGAATCAAAAGAATGATGAATGACAAACCAGATAAGAATGCTACTCCAACCTAAAAAAAATGATTTATGAGTCAAAATGAGTGAGTTTATTCATATTTTGAACTTCTTTGAGTTTCTAAGGTGTAGTAAATACAGGGGTGGGACCGCAAAATGTGAACGTTTTTGTTTTATTATAACTATTTTCTCGTTAGATGTAGTTGTACTCTCTCACTCATCAGAAAGTATCTAAAGAGTTGGTCTAAACGTTGTAAAATGATCTAAGAGAATCAAGGAGGTCAAATTGAACATTTAAAATAGTTCATATTTGACAGAAAATTAATTATTACAATCAGAAAAGTGTTTACATTTTGCGGTCCCACCCCTGTAGTTCCAAGAGTTATCTTTGGAGATTTTTTAATAAGGTTTATTTTAATGGATTTATATATATACATATATATATATATATATATATATATATATATATATATATATATATATATATATATATATATATATATATATATATATATAATTATATACTAATTTAGAGTATGGAAGCCCAGTACGATATAACCCAGTATTGAACCTCAATTTGATATCACTTCAGGAGGAGCAATATTGCTGTGGGAAATATCGTGGAAAAACTATAATAATAAATAAGTTAGGAGAATAAAGATTTTAACTAACTTACCTTACTCTAAGGTTTCACAACTGTAAATAGTTAATGTAACAGAAAATAATTTTAAAACCTGTTGATATAAGAGATACAAACATATTGCTATTTGAAATGGCAAACTCCAAAATTCATGAAAACTTTGACAGAAATTTACCACACAGTTTGTGTCTGTGCTCATAAAGTTCATTATCTAAAAGTTATTAAATCCATATATACTGCTTGTCTCACATTTAAATATAACAAAATATATGCACTTTTTCAAAAAAAAAAATATTAGTTTTTATTATTAAAAAAACTAGATTTAAATATTAAAAAAAATAATAAACTCAATATTTCAACTGTATTAAAAGATTTTTACCTGACCTCTTGAATAACTTGATAATGATATTTTGTTAATATTTAAACTCTTTTTATAAATAGTTGTTATTAAAGCAGTCCGAAACATCAAGCCAACTTTTTGTGTCTAAAATTTTATATATATATAAAAATATATATATAAATATATATATATATAAATATATATATATATAAATATATATATATAAATATATATATATAAATATATATATATATATATATATATATATATATATATATATATATATATATATATATATATATATATATATATATATATATATATATATATATACAAGAAATGAAATATAAAGTATAATGAAACAAAGATCTAAAAAAATAACAAACTTGTTTGGTGCAAAACCCACAAATTAAACCAAATTACGTACAGCCTGTTTTGGCTGAAAAATTATGTAACTTGTAGGACAGTTGCAACTTTTTTGAAATGTATGATTTCAAGCCTTGTATAATGAATCGAGTGCTCCTTATTCGAGGAGATATTTAAAATTTAAACTTTTTTCCTTGATACTTAATAATACTATTATTCGAATGTTGTGTATAACTCATTTTTGACATTTTTTGACACAACTCTTTTCCTTCCTCCCTTTTTTCTTTTGCAAACAGAATTTTGTTTTATATTACATATAAAAAATATGGTATGTCCGTTAGTTATTGCTTTTTTATTTTATTTTCTGTTAACTAAATTAAGTAAACACTTAAAAAACTTTGAACTAGAATTGTTTTAGTTTATTCAAAATATTTTATTATACATAAAATGAACTTGTGGGGACTAATTTTTCTGTTAAAAACTTGTTTAAAGTTATTGAAAATTATTTTAAACCAATAGAGTACCATTAATAAATGCTCATTATATATGCATGAACATGCCAATTTCCGTAACCAACCTCCTAACCCCAACCCTGAATGAAAGCAAATGTGTTTCTGCTTAATCTTTAGAAATTCTTTAAATTTATGTTTATTAAATTCTAAAATTTATGTTTATGTTTGTTTGTGTTCTGTTTATACTTTAATGCAGCGTGAGCTCAGTAACTAACTACTTACTCCAACTACAAAACCTACACTCACCTTAGACTCCTGTATTTTGTTAGATGCAGTGTTTTTCCTAATGCACTTCCAAAATGTCATGCCTGGTTTTCTCAAAGTACTGTTGCGGGAAGTAACTCCTTTTAACTACTCCAGGTCAGGTCAGGATAATCGAGATCAATCTTGCTACTGGTATTACGTAACCCAGTACCACCTGCCACAAGCCCTGCTGCCTTGCAGAGTGTGCTCTTCTTATGCAAAGGCTAGGAGAAATAAACTCCGACTAAAAATTCCCCTGCCTTGGGGCTCTTGGTTGAGTAAAGGCTAGAGATGGTGTCTCGATAAAAACACTCATCTTGGGCAGATGTTAACTGCATCCAGCTAAACACCCCCTGCCTTGGGGCTCTTGGTTGAGTAAAGGCTAGAGATGGTGTCTCGATAAAAATACTCATCTTGGGCAGATGTTAACTGCATCCAGCTACTGTCTTGTAGAAGGCCTCCTAGGCAAAGACTTTAGGGTAAGCAGAAAAATTCTGCTAACCAGCCTCGAACCCCTTCTTCATCTATTAGGCTGGCGTAGATGTAACCTGCGTTACATTGTTTCCTGCCTAGGATGATGAATGCTGGATCTCCTTGACTCTACTCATAGAATTTTGCTTATGCCTCCTTGATAATGACTATGCAACTCTTCCTGTTATCTCCATATGAGGGTACAGCTCTAAAACTCAGTTTAATGGTTCTGAGGCCGGCTGGTAGTAAGGTTTCCCGAACTCTGTGGTAGCTCTCAGAGAGGCTGATTCCATCAACAGCTGCAAAATATCAGAGTATTAACAGTGCCATGTTGCGCATGGATGGTGTCCCTGTTAATGCTTTTGGTGTGCATTGTCAAGGCCACATAAGGAGCCCTATGTCACGGCTTAGGGTTAATTAACAGGACAGAGACAACTGCATAGCTCATTGATTAGGAGGCTGTGCTCTATCTATGAATGAGTCAAGTTCTCATTAAACCCAAATCACGACCAAAGTAACCAAAAATTTAAAACCTAAAAAACCATCCCAACCACCTAAATATTTTAATATATCTTTTACAAATATTCGCGGTCTACGAAGCAACTTTCCATCAGTTGAGTCTTACCTCCTGCAAAATTCACCAGACTTGCTTGCACTCAGTGAAACAAATTTAAGTTCTGCAATTCCTTCTTCAGATGTCAGTGTTGATGGGTACTATCCTTTGATTCGTAAAGACTCCAATAGTCACATGCTAGGTTTAGGGGCATACATACGCATTAATTCCCCTATTTGTCGTGAAATCAGGTTCGTATCCTTTGACCATTCTTTTATGTGCTTTCGCCTAGCACCTCTTCACTCTATCACCTTTCTCTTTGTTCTTTATCGTTCTCCTTCTTCCCATGATTGCACTCTTTTAGATGTTATCTCTGATCAAATTGACCATGCCCTCTCTCTTTACCCCTCTGCCAATATTGTTGTTGTTGTTGGTGATTTTAATGCCCATCACACTGAATGGCTTGGCTCTAACACCACTGATCCTGCTGGCACTAAAGCCTTTAACTTCTGCGTTTCTCAATCTCTTACTCAGATAGTTAACTTTGTGACTTGTTTTCCTGACAACCCTAATCATTTACCTTCACTCCTTGACTTATGTCTTGTCTCTGACCCTAGCTTATGTTCAGTTTCTCCCTTTTCTCCCTTAGGTGGTTCTGACCATGCAATGATCTCTATAAATCTTTCTTCTCGTACTTCTTTTTTGGGCTCACCTTATCATCGCACCACCTACTACTACCCTAGAGCTGTCTGGGATTCCTTTCGTGATTTTCTTTGTGATGGTCCTTGGGCTGATGTTTTTTCTCTCTCAGCTGACAAATGTGCCTCCTACGTAACCTCCTGGATTCAGGCTGGAATGGAAGCTTTTATTCCTTCGCATCAGTTTCAAGTCAAGCCTCATTCTACTCCATGGTTTTCTCCTTCTTGTGCAGCTGCTATATCCAATCGTAATCATTTTTTTCATCTTTTTCAAAAGAACAACTCTCTTGAGAACAAACGGCTATTTATTATTGCAAGAAATCGATGTAAAAAGGTGCTTTCTGATGCTAAACTCCATTATTCTCAGTTCACTAAATCTCGCATCTTATCGCAGAAGTTAGGCTCTAAAGACTTTTGGAAAATCTTCAACAGCATTATTAACAAGGGTAGATCTAGCATTCCATCACTCATTCATGGGACTGATCTTATTACCTCTCCCAGGCAGAACTATTTGCAAAGAACTTTTCTTCTAATTCCACTCTTGAATCTTATGGAAATTCTCTTACTTTCTTCCAGTCAAACAGATTGACCCATTGTTAGACATTCAAATCACTCCGGCTTCTGTTGCTAAAGTCATATCTTAATTAAACTCGTCTACAGCTTGTGGTCCAGACAACATTCCTGTCACAGTCTTGCAGAATTGTTCTCCAGAACTTTCTTCAATTCTCTCTAAACTATTTATAAGTGTTTGACTGAGTCTTGTTTTCCTGCTTGTTGGAAAATGGCATCTGTGGTTCCAATATTCAAAAACTCTGGAGAAAATTCTGACCCCTCTAATTATTGTCCGATCAGTCTTCTTTCTTTTATTAGCAAGGTCTTTGAGTCTTTGATCAACAAATTCCTCACATCTCATCTTGAGTCAAATAAACTGCTGTCAGACAATCAATACGGTTTTCGATCCTCTCACTCTACGGCCGACTTGCTAACTGCTGTAACTGAAAGATTTTATCGTGCATTAGATGGAGGCGGTGAGGCTAGGGCTATTGCTCTCGACATATCTAAAGCTTTCGACAAAGTTTGGCATGCTGGTCTTCTCCATAAGCTTGCTTCTTATGGTGTTTCTGGGAAAGTTTTTGAGATTATCAAATCATTTCTTTCTAACCGGTTTATTAAAGTCATCCTTAAAGGCCAACACTCTTCTTTATTTCCAGTAACTTCTGGGGTTCCCCAAGGTTCCATCCTGGGCCCTGTTTTGTTTCTTATCTACATAAACGATCTTCCTGACAACCTTTCATCTAAAGTAGCTCTTTTTGCTGATGACTCAACTTTATACTCCTGTCTTGACAAAAAGTCTTCTCTTTTCGATCGCCTAGAACAAGCAGCTGATCTTGAATCTCACTTCAGTAATAGATTGGGGTTCACAGTGGCTTGTGAATTTCAACTCTAAAAAAACCCAGTTGCTTACTGCAAACAACTACCGTAATATGGTCAACATTCCTATATTAATGAATGGCAATCCTCTTACTGAGTCCTCCTCTTTACGTCTTCTTGGATTATCGCTTACTACTGACCTTTCATGGAAACCATATATACAATCGATTGCTAAATTAGCTTCTGCTAAGGTTGCTTCTCTTTATCGTGCTCGCCATTTCCTTACTTCTGATTCCATTCTCTATCTCTACAAATCTCTTATTTGTCCCTGTATGGAATACTGTTGTCATATTTGGGCTGGTTCTTCTAACGATTCACTTTCTCTTCTTGACAAGGTCCAAAAACGCATTGTAAATGTTGTTGGACCTGGACTATCTGCTAAGCTTGAACCTCTTTCCCATCGTCGTAAAGTTGCATCTCTTTTTCTTTTCTACAAATACTATCATGGTCACTGCTCAAAGGAGTTATCATCTCTAGTTCCATCAACTAAAATTCATTCTCGTTTTACTCGTCATTCAGCTAAGTCTCATTCGTTTCCTGTATCTGTCCCTGCATGCTCTAAAAACTTTTATTCATCTTGTTTTTTTCCCCGCACTTCAATCCTTTGGAACTCTCTCCCATCTTCATGTTTTCCTGACTCATACAACCTTCAACTTTTCAAGTGTTCTGTCAACCGTTTCCTTGCTCTATAACTCTGTTTTTTTTTTTCCTAGTAACTCCCGACTTATAGTGGTTGCTTGCAGCCTTGTTGGGAGTGAATGCAAATTTAAAAAAAAAAAAAAAAAAAAAAAAAATATAAAACAGTAGCAAATTAATTGCTAAATTAAATTTAGCATTGCCAATTTATGGCGATACAAACCATATTTTTTATGTATGTTTAAGTACAATACATGGGAATACTTAAAAGTCTGTTTGACTTTTTTGGCAACTATACCAACTTTTTACATGACAGTGTACTTATTATAACAAGTGAAAAGAAGCAGAAGCCTTGGCTAATTTATGCAAGCCTAAAGTAAAGAAACAGTAGTTTCCATTTTAATGTTGTAAGATGTTTTTCCTCTTGAACAAGTCATTCCAAGAAAATATTTGCTAGAGTGACATTTCTATATTCATTTTAAAAAAGTTAAATTTAAAAGCAAATATAAAATGGATCAGTAAGAAAATGCTATAAATTAAAAAAAACCAAAATATGAAATCTACTGTCAGTGACATTTGGATGTCTCAACCTAAATCAAGTCATTTTCGCAGGAAATATATTTTGAAAACTTTGAAACCAGTACTTATTTGAAATCTTATGTTCATTTAGAATTAAACTGACAAAAGTTTTTGAACAAATGAAATTTTGTAAGTGTTTATTGGTTTTTGATCTTCACAAATTAGGATCATATTGAGTTGGCTGATCTGGTCGAATATGGCAAAGAGGAACTGTCAACATTATCAAGTCACTATGCAAAATTATTGTGAAAGTAATCAATTCAGTCAAATGGTACAAGACATAGGTATCAATTCAGATAAAAAAAAAAAAGTCAAATTTGAGAGTTTTAATTTTTTAATATTTTAAAGCAAAAAGAAATGGAAAACATGTTTTGATCTTGAAATACTGGATGATTTCACAAAACATCAACGACAAGAGTTAAAGAAATAATAACAGTCATACTGTGCTCAATCTTTATGTACTGGTTTAAAAAAAACTAGTCTAAATCAAGATTTATATACAACTGTATGCTTTCATTGAACTTTATAATTTTTCTTACAAATGTTGCTTGTGTAGCGAAATGTTGCTTGTGCAGCTTGCTTGTGAAATAATTGTTTTCAAAACCAATTAAAAAAATTAATTATGCAATCAATTGACAGTTGAATCAGTTTTAGAGCCAAGTATTAAGGCCAAGCCTTGAAGACATCTCCAAACAATACCTTATAGAGGTGTTGTCTTCAAGTAAACCAAAGTATATTTTATTTCTCTAACAGAACACAAGTTCTAATTTAACTTTTGAAATCAAAATATTTACAATACAAAAAATTTAATCAGTTATACTTAAACTTTTTTTTATCAAGTTTAATTCTCTAACAGCTGCTATATTTCATTATACAGTTATAATGAAATTCTACATATTCTTGTTTATTATTTTATTACCTAAAGAAATATAAAAAATTAGAATCAAAACATCTATTTGCACTCATTACTGATGATAAGAAATAAGAAATAAAGTATGCCTTTAAATCAAAAAAATAAAATAATTTCAAAAGAAAATTCTGCAGTAGCATTCTAGTGGTAGAGCTCTTTGTAAGCAGGAGGTCTGAGTTCAATCCTTACCCTGTTTCTGGTAGCACTGTGCTCAACATGTTTCTTTGCACAGCAGCCTTGTTCATCAAGGTTCGTGTTTTAAAGTTATAAAGTTGGGTTATAACCACAATTAAGTAGCCTCCTTTTCTGTAGTGGCCTTCTTGGCCTTGGGGAGGTGAACTAACATCAAAAAAAAAATAAAAAAATAAAAAGAATTAAATACAAAGAAAGATGTTATTGATTTTAACTATGGTATTTTGCAAATAGAAAATGATAACTCTGCAAAATGTAAGAAGTCTAAACATCCTGGATATTATTTGTATTAAATATCTGTATTTGTCAACCATTCTCGAATAGAAAGCAATTTAGATTGTTTAATGTTAATTGAACTGGTCTACTTCTAAGATATTTTAAACATAAAAATGGTCAACAATAAAAAAAAAACTTTAAAAATAGAGTTGTAGCTATAAAAAATATATGTAACAAATATGACTTTATTATGCTATTAAAAGGATTGGTTATTGCCTTATAAGTTTGATTTGTTGAACATGTTCATCTGGAAGATTTTTGTACTGGCTTATATGCTGAATATGAGAACTTATAAGAATTTTTTAGATATTATGATTGGAAGATCATATGGTGGTACAGCCATACTATATAGTAAAAATCTTGGTAAAAGTATTTATAATATCAACCCTCGGAATAAGGGTCGGCATTTGGCAATGCCGACTTTACTGCCAACCTTAAAGTGTTTTAAGTCGGCAAATAATTGCTGATCTTGTTTCGATATTTTATGGTAAGACCTTTGTATGATATTTCCTTTGCTGACCTTGTGCCAACCTCTAAATAATTTTCCTAATTCTGAGGGTTGATAATATTGAAACTCATAAATCTAGAATCTTGTGTTTAACTCTTTTGGCACAGTACTTGTGGATTTCGTTCACTGGTGTTCATGATTTCTTGCTACTATATTTTCATAACAAATAGTGTTTTTTAGGTGATTTATTTTTGGAAATTATTACATAATAATTAGCCAATTATTAAACTGGGTCACATGTTTAGTGGCAAGGTAATTGAGATGATCCTGAACCAGACCTGGAGAAGTTAAAAGAAGTTTTTATTATTATTTACTACGTTACTTTATCTTTAACATTAATTTATTCATTACTTTATCTCTAAGATTAATTTACCTACAATAAATAATTGTAGATAAATTAATGTTAGAGATAAAGTAATGTAGTAAATAATAATAATGTAATGTAGTAAATAATAATCTACAATAATTTATAATCAAATTTCTACAATAATTTACAGTATAAAAAACATTAATTTATATAAACTACTACCAGGGGCTATTCTAGACCATTTTCGACAGTGTCAACCGTATTTAACGTATTTATTCCATTTTATTCGCCACTCAAATTAAAATTTGAATAACTTTTTTTTTACATTTTTTTACGTTTTTATGGCAACTACTGTTTTTTTGCAGATTTTCCGCTTAAGCCTAGAATAGGTCCTGACTACATATTTCATATTAATTAACTTACTATGCATTAATATATTGCTAAATGCAAAACTCATTATCTAAAAAGCTTAAAAATAGTTACAATGATTATATTATACTGGAAGATTTTGCAGAGAAGTATTCAATACAAGATGAAATATAAAGTTATCATTGGAATAAACAACAATGTATATTACATCCAGTTATTCATTTCAATAAAATTTCTTAATCAATTATTTAGCATAAATCAATCTGCTTTTAACTTATGACAACAAGTTATAATGCTTTGTGTATAAGTTTCATAAGAAAAATTGTAGAGAAAAATTGTACAATAAAAATTGTATTAAAGAATATTTAATGGATATCAATAAAATTTATTATATCTCTGATGGATGCTCTGTTTATTAAAAAACTATAAAAACTTTTCTATGCTATTAAGTAGTAACTACATTACATAACTTATATATTTATAAATATATATAACTTCTCAAAAACCTTTTTTTTCTTCAATGATTTATGCAATTTTTATTATAAATTAAGTTATAATGCTTTGTGTATGAGTTTCATAAGAAAAATTGTAGAGAAAAATTGTACAATAAAAATTGTATTAAAGAATATTTAATGGATATCAATAAAATTTATTATATCTCTGATGGATGCTCTGTTTATTAAAAAACTATAAAAACTTTTCTATGCTATTAAGTAGTAACTACATTACATAACTTATATATTTATAAATATATATAACTATATATACAACAACTGCATAACTTATATATACTATTATTTTAGGTGCTTATTGAAAAAAAGTTGTTGAAGCTTCTCAAAAACCTTTTTTTTCTTCAATGATTTATGCAATTTTTATTATAAATTAAACTATTTTGACTAAGAAATGCATTAAATTACATTTGCTTTATATATACTACATTTGCTTTATATATATATATTTAATGCATTAAATTATATTTGCTTTATATATACTACATTTGCTTTATATATAGACTCTTGCAATCAAATATATTAAACTGCAACTGTCCAAAATTATGGTTAATAATTAAAAGTGAAGCCTCTATTTAAATGAGAAAAATTTATCTCAATTTAAAGATTCACTGGAATGCTTTTAGCCTTTAATTCAGCCATTTTTAAAGACAGAATTGCATTCAAGAGTTTATTCAATTATAAAGCAGATTAAAATCTAGGTGATAATGTAAACTTGAATGTTATACAAATTATATTAGAGGTGCTAAAAGAAGGTGATAAAAGGAGATGCTAATAGGAGGTGCTAAAAAAGAGGCGCTAAAAGGAGGTGTTAAAGGCTTCAAAACTACCTAATAAAAATATGAGCAGAGAAGATGATAAGTAACTTGAAGATTCAAGAGTGATAAGCAATCAGAGGTTTTAAAAATGATAAGCAACAAGAAGATTCAAGAATGATAAGCAATCAAATGATTCAGTAACGATAAGTAATGAGCAGATTTAACAATGATAAGCAAAGTGATTTAGGTATGAAATAATGCTTCATGCATAAAACATCTTAAACATGTAGAGCAAAAAAAAAACATCAGTATAAAGATCCCTTGCTGTTTTAAAAGAAAAGATTCGAAAACATGAAAAAAGTGTAAGATTAAATTCCCTCTAGTGTTGATCACTAAGGAAAACTAAATTTAGTTCAGTTTAATTGTTTTTAAATAAAAAACAGAAAATTATTATAAAAGAAAAATCAACTTTTGAAAAATATAAAATAAAATAATAATTATTCAAGTTTTCTTTTTACTGGAGTTAGTTATAGTTCCTTACTCAAGTTAAATCTTTTGTTAAACTAATTAAAAGAATTTTCTTAAAATTAAAAAAAAAAAATCATGTAAATAAAGCAACTTGTGCATAAATAATTCTAGCACTAATACTTACTTGAAATCGGTAATGAAGAAATAAAATGAAGGAAGCAACTTTTGTTAAAAACAGCGCTAGTACAAGATGGTAACCATTTAATGAGTTCTCCTAAACTCAAAATACAAACTAGTTAATATGGATACATACTTACATACATACATATATACATATATACACACATACATACATACTTACATACATACATACATACATACATACATACATATATACATACATACATACATACATACATACATACATACATACATACATACATACATACAAATATACATACATATAAATATACATATATATATAAATATATATAAATATATATATATATATATATATATATATATATATATATATATATATATATATATATATATATATATATATATATATATATATATATATATATATATTGATATTTAAGGTTGTTTTGTCTTATAGTAATAAAACAAAACTCATAGTTGAAAAAGAGTGCTCAATATTTTTTTTTTTTTTTTTTTTTTTTGTAATTCACCTCCCCAAGGCCAAGAGGGCCACTACAGATGAGGAGGCTACTTGTGGTTATAACCCTCTCTCAACTCTATAACTCCAAAACATGAACCTTGACAAACAAGGCCGCTGCGCAGAGAAACAAGTTGAGCACGGTACTACCAGGGATGTGGTGGGAATCCAACTCCGAACCTCTCGCTTATGAAGCAAACGCTCTACCACTACACCACTACCGCATAAAAAGTAAAAAAGATATTTCAAATAGAGCGATATACATACAAGTGAAACATAATCTGGTACAAACCGCTTTTCAGTACTAATGTTGCAACAAAAATAGGCAGTTGTTTTTTGAACTTGGTAAACCTACATTTTTCCGTTGGTTACAAACTTCGTACAATAGTTAACCGAAATACCATTAAAATAAGCTACTCATGTATGCCAAATATCAAGTCAATCATTAATTTGCACAACCACAGGATATTATATAGCCAAGATAAAGATGAGGGAAAAACATGCAATTGTATCAACAAATCCATCTGACCCATGAACAATCAGTGCTTGACAAAAAACATCGTTTATCAAGCCACTGTGTTGTCAAATAAACCTGACTACAAAGAAAAAGTATATTTTGGCTTTCGTGAAACTCCATTTAAATCTCGGTATGCGAACCACCTAAAATCTTTTAACATTAACAAATATTAAAATGATACCGAGTTGTCTAAAGAAATTTGGGACATAAAAGACAAAATGTTTACACCCTTAATTAAGTAGAAAATTTTAAAACGTTGCCATACTTATAACGCCTCGTCAAAAATTTGCCATTGTTGCTTATTCGAAAAATTCCTTATTTTAACATATAAAGGTGATAACTTATTAAATAAACGAAATGAGTTGATTTCAGACACAAAAATAAATTCCTTTTATCTTTTTTTGACACTGCAGATTAGCTGATACTTTGTTTTTTCTTTGGTTGCCATCAAGAGTGTCTTAGCAACGTTAAGATCCCACTACACAGTAGTTTGTAATTATATATATATATATAATATATATATATATATATATATATATATATATATATATATATATATATATATACACACACTTACTAAAGCGTGTTTTGATAAGCATTTGCTCACTTTTTCTGCTTACCTTAAGCTATACCGTTTTTTTGAAAAAGAAGAAGAAAAAACGAAGAATGATGAATATATATAATAATAGAGTTTAATTATTTGAAAAAATACAACTTTTTGATGGTACTTGAAGTTTCATGCCCTTGGGCAATCATCAGCCATATTTTATTCTTTTAAAACAAGAAAAAACCGTTAAAAAATACAAAATACAAAAATTAACAGAAAAAACAATAACAAAGCAATAGAATGAGTTCTGACGTCAAAACAAATTTTTAATTAGAAAATTGTTTAATCGGCCGTGTCGAAATGGGCGAGAAGAAACTTGTTTAGATGCCTGCATTTGGATATCATTTCACTTTTTTTGTTAATTAGATTTTTATTTTTGGAAAACAGAATTTGATATTTTTCATTTATACACAGTTTGCAAGACTTCATAGTTGGGTTGTAAGCATTGCACTGCTTAATTATTTTCCATTTAATAACTGGATTTAAATTTGCATCTTTCAGTTTCCAAAATTCTTTTGATAGTTCAGTGTCATTTTTGTAATTTTGAATGGTGTTTCGCTTATACCGATGTATAGTTTGTTGACAGGAGTGGTAGTAGGATTAGTTGAACTTATTTTAGCTTGGTATACAATGTTTTTTGTTAAGCATTGGTTTGATAGAGGGCAGGTGCTTTTATTAAGGCAGTTGCAATTGGTTTTAGGTGGATCTTTTTTGTTGTTCATAATTTGTCGATTGTGTGCATTTAGGATAGATTTCATGTTCGGCATACAGCTATAACTTACTTTTATGGTGTTTCTGTTAAAGATTTTGTGGAACTTGTGATTTATTGGGAAGTGTTTGTTGACTAAAGTTAAGAAGCTTTTTCTTATGTTAGTGCTTACATTTTTGCTGAAAGGTGGGTTAAACCAAATGATGTTGCGTTTACGGTTTTTTGTATAAGGTGAATTTAAATTAGGGTGCTATGAAAGTTTATGATTAAAACCGGACTTTAACAGTGCGTCATTGTATGCAGGAGTAGATCTTTGGAAAATTTCTTCACTTGAGGAATTTGCAGACAATCTTAACTCAATTGAATGCGGAAGCTGTTTTAAAATATTTGGCGGGTGGTTTGAATCAGTATGAACATAATTTAAAGAATTTCCGGGCTTAGAATATGGTTGGAAAGTATGGTCATTTAGATTTAATGTGACGTCGAGGTAATTTACAATTTTCATGTTGCATTGTATTGATATATTGAGTTCGTTTTTTTCAAATATTTCAACAAAATGTTTTTTAATTTTTTCCATTTGGGGACCACTCATATTTTTAAAAACTGCTAAGCCGTCATCGCGGTATAGTCCGAAATCATTTTTATTATAAACCTGTGCAACTTGAGACAATAGATAAATTCCCACGAGTTCACAAACTTCAGCACCGTCAAATGCTCCCATTGAAACATCGAATAAACCGCCTGATTTTTTAATCCAAACTTGATCATCATTATATAATAATGACTTCCTTGCGTGATAGATCAATGATTTATGGTTAGGTTCAATATTTAGATGTTGTTCAGCGAAATGGATAGCATTGTTGAGTAATTTTTCTGTTATTGATGGGTAAAAATCAACAATGTCAAAAACAAGGAATTTATAAAGGTGTTTATTACTGATGCAATTAAACCAGTTTGTGGTATCTTGTGTTTTTTTCCATTGATTGAGGTGAAGTTTATTGACAAGTTCAGAGTTTATATTAGAAAGTATAACTTTACTAATTCTGCCGATTTCATTTTTGGTGGGGTTTAATAAATCCAACTGTCCGTTTATATATATATATATATATATATATATATATATATATATATATATATATATATATATATATATATATATATATATATATATATATATATAATTTTTGTATTTTGTATTTTTTAATGGTTTTTTCTTGTTTTAAAAGAATAAAATATGGCTGATGATTGCCCAAGGGCATGAAACTTCAAGTACCATCAAAAAGTTGTATTTTTTCAAATAATTAAACTCTATTATTATTATTATTGATCTATTTTGTAAACACTTACATTATATTGATCACTGTCAAACGAACAAGAGACTTTTGTATCTTAATTTGGTACAATAAAACAACAATATATATATATATATATATATATATATATATATATATATATATATATATATATATATATATATATATATATATATATATATATATGTACATATATATATATATGTATATATATATATGTATGTATATATATATATATATATGTATATATATATATATATATATATATATATATATATATATATATATATATATATATATATATATATATATATAGCATACTAGATAGATACTTTCGGGGACATGTTCTGTTGTTTTTTTTACTTTTTTTATACTATTTTTATAATATTAAAATATTTTTTTATTTTTTATTTTAATTTTATTTTTATTCCCCTTCTACTTCTACTTTTGTTTCCGTTCTGTTGTTATTTTTTACTTTTTTTATAATATATATATATATATTTTTTAATTTTTATTTTACTTCTATTTTTATTTATACATATTTAAATTTATTACTTTATTATAAAAATATATTTTTAATATTAATTTTTGTTATTTTTATTTATTCATTATATATTATATTTCATTTTTAATTTCATTTAATTACAAAAACAATTAATTACAATAATATAACCAAATTTAAACCTTGCCGTAACCCTAATCCTAAGCCTAACCTTGATGCCTGGCCTAACCAAACCCTCAGTTGATGTAGCAGCACTCCCTTACGATTCAGGCTATTTGTCAGTCAATGTATGTACTTTTTGTTCTCTATAAAAGTTTCTTACGGGTACATTATTTTGCAAAAAAAATCATGCTTACACATACAAAAAATTAACGGGTACACTAAAATATCCCCGTAAGTGCTCGTTTTTTTTCATATATATATATATATATATATATATATATATATATATATATATATATATATATATATATATATATATATATATATATATATATATATATACATATATATATATATATATATATATATATATATATATATATATATATATATATAATATATATATATATATATATATATATATATATATATATTAATGGTATTACAACTACTAAAACTTAATGATAAAGTTTATTTATTAACATAGTCCTTCAATAAACTTTTCAGTGTGTTACAGTTAGAAGGGGAAAAAAATTAAGAGTTATGATCAGTTACTAATTTGTATTCATATTTTGTAATAATATGGAACATTATGCTGTTTTATATTGTTTCTTATTCATTATGTTTCATTATATTGTTTATATTATATTTTTTCTGAAATCTTTATACAATTCTGGTTCTTTTGAGAGGCAAAAAAAAAAAAAAAAATTTAAATGATATGAGATTCAGCATGTATATATATATATATATATATATATATATATATATATATATATATATATATA